GTTCTTAATATATATATATATATATATATATATATATATATATATATACACATCGAAGAAGTACTCTTGAGCCACTGAAGATTTTCTTTATAGTATCTTATATATGTAGTGACACGTCCCTACTTCCCCCACCATATCACATCCCTTTGAATTTTGAATGGACTCGACATATATGGTCACATGCGAACAAGTTTGGCACAAAATAAAGTACCAATTTGAAAGCAACAAGGACCAGCATTTCTCAAATAAATAAACCATCTTTATACTTTAATATAGTAGTTCTTCCATTATGATACATTGGTATACTTTGTGGTAGTTTTTTTTTTTTTGAACATAAAATAAACAAAGCATAATTAATGGGCCAACTCGAGGCAACTTTTTTGTCCCGTATGTACCAAGCGGAACGTTTTTATAAAAATTATAATAAAAAGTCAGCCACATTTTTTTATATATATAGTAAATATATGTTAGGAAGCTTTCTCATCGATATATATTTTTAAAATATATATAATTATTAACATATTCTAATTTAAAAAGTGAAAATATATTAACAAACTACAAATATTTATTAATATACACCCACTTAATTTTTAATTGAAGTATCCTATATATTTTAGAATAATTAACATGCTTCACTTAGAATCTGGTACATGTACTCAAACTGAATATAAGGGTTTGTTAAAGTACATCCACTTGTTTGTTAGTTGAAATAACATTAAAAGTTACATTATTAATGTATTTTAATTAAAGTATATTTTTGTAATTTAGTCCTGAAGTTCGCTTACAATTCGTGAAACTTGGCAAGATATTCTTAATATCCTCATACCATATAGTTACATTAAATTATTATTTCATGTTATCATTCATATGTATCAGGTTGTAATTACTACTCATAAAATTATATATTATTTTAGAATTCTTATGATTAAGGAAATTTTAAGAATTCTTATACATGGGTAATGACATGAAATAATAATTTAGTATGGCTATCCAAGTATAAAGGTCTAAAATTATTCTGTCAAATTTCACAAATTATAAATAAACTTCTAATCTCAATGAGTAATTAAATTATAAAAATATAAAAAAGATAAAGAGTTTAATTAAAAAAATATAGTTTAGAGATCTAGTTAAAAAAATTTAAAAATCTGAAAACTAAATGATATATTAATTTTAAAATAAAAATAAAGATTATGAACATATAAACTATGAGATATTTCGGTCCAAATCAAATAGGGGTGGAGAAAGAAACAATTTTTTTGTTGGTCCCTAAAGACAGTAATAAAATAGTGGATTCATCTACTGAGGATTCGTTATTTATGCATGTATGAGAATTGGGCCTTCCCTCGTGAGTGCCCATAGTGTGGAACCGTGTTAGAACTTTTGGGTTCTTGTTAATTTTCATCCACCATATTTTGAGTTTTGATCCCCAAATAATGAGTATGTTTTTTTTTTTTTCATTTAAATAGAACTTTTAAAATAAACTGCGTGATAATAGATGTGTTTTATTTGATATATTCATTGACTATGTCTAAATAGATGAATTAAAATAAGTTTTTTTAATCACAAGAACTAAAATATTTATTTTAAATTTGAGATACTAAACACAAATTTAATAAAAGCATACCTAAGCGAAAAATATTATTAAAAAATAAACTGATATTTTTGACACAATAGGTGGGAAATTAACTTGGGTCTACATTATATATATATATATATCTTGGCCCAATATGATATCTTGGCCCTACAGGCCCGCTCCTTTATTGAAGCAAAGTACAAACTGCGAAGCCATTGCTGAAAATTTTTTTGGGGTTTCTCGTCCCCTCGATCTGTCTCTCTCTCATTGTTTTAGATGATATTGGTGTAATGTATTTGTGTATTAATGAGAAGTAGTATTAAATTATGAGTTAATTATCTATATATTATCAGTATAAAATTTTTTTATATTGATAATTAATTATATATTTTAATTGTATCATGTTACTGTTAAAAATAAATACGTTTATAGTGACATGACATAATTAAAATATATAATTAGTTATCAATTTACTCATATCCCATATGGTTTCCAAGTTGCATACTTGAGTTTCTTAGAAAGGGGTTTCTGAAACAAAAACCACCTTCTTTTTTTTTTAATCAGTCTCACTCATTATATCCATCGCCTTTGGTTTGGTCCCAAATCTCAATCCCTAATTTGTTTTAGCTCCAATAATATTAAATACAGGTGTCTTGACTCACTGAACAAACTAAGATATAAGGCATTAGAAAAAGAAGACTTGTCTGAGTCTTCGTCAATTTCCACAATAATTGAAATGGAATAGCTAGAGCCAGCCAGGGCAGCTAAGGTTTGCTTGGGATAACCACTGACTTCTACGCCAACTCTTTTTTTTTTTTTAATGTATGTAATAGATTTAAAACTTTCTATTATACTCCTTTCATTTATATTTCACAATAAAAGCACACTAGTTATAAATGTGTAAATTAAAAAAAAAAAGTTAAAAAGTAAGGATATAATTTGTATAGAGAGATAATATATCCAATATTATTATAAATTAGTAATTTAACTTTGTACAATACACATGGTTAACATTTATTTTTTATATAACAAAATTTATAATAAGCATTTTTTTAATAAATAAATTACATCATAATTAAAAAAAATATAATAAATCAATTATTTTTTACCATATAAATTATATTTTAGATTTAAAAATATATTTTATAGTATATTATAATATGATGTTATTTAACTATCTGATAATTAAGAATTAAAATTAAAATTAGAAATGGAGGATAAAAATATATATTGAGAGATAAACAATTGAAAAACTAAATATATAAAAGTTCTATAAAAAATTTGTTTAAATTTTTTTAAAAAAATTTGTCAAAAAATAACTCTTAAAAATATTAAAATATTCTTGCTTAAAATAATTATTCTAATTAGTATTTTAATTTGTACATTATGTGACATAAACTTTTATTTTGTATAACTAAAATTATTAAAAAAAACACTTTTAAATATAAATTATATTATAATTAAAATTTATAATAAATATAATTTAATCATATAATTTATTTTAAAATAATGATACAGTTAATTATTGATATTTAAAAAAAATATTAAGTTTTGAAACAAAAATAGAAATGATAAATTGAAAAAAAAAATTAAAAAAACTCTAAATTGTTCTTGTCAAAGAAAAATAACTAAATACACTAATTTATTTACAGAGAGAAACTGAATCTATTCATTTCATCTTTATTTTTTAATTTAATTTTAATATTTAATATAATTATCAATATAATTTAATTATATTTTTAAAAATATTTATTTACAACAAATTTTAATCTATAACAATATATGTAAACAATATAATGTTTTCGTATATACATTTTTAAGATATTTTATTCTTTATTTATTTTGATAATCATACATTTTTTTAATGTAGTACAATTTAGTGATTTTATTTATTCAAAATAATTTTTTTAATAAACTGCAATTTTCTGTAATTTTATAATTTTCACACATACAATATTTGTATGATACATAGTGCCTTTAGTTTGCAAGTTATAATAAAATTGGTATATAAGATCTATTATGCATGCTAAGTTTACAAGAATAGTTGAGTTAAACTTAATTTAGATATGTGAATTGAATGAGCAGAGGAAGGTAAGATTTATGAAGAACAACGAAGAAAGAACATAAACATAAACTTAAATCCGACAGGAGAGGTACAAGAGCGACGGTGGCGCCGGCTTCGTATAAAGAATCTTTCGTACTGTTGTCTCTTCAATTGCATAGTCATAGCCATTGCCATATCCATATCCATAGGGCATACAATATAGCAATTACGTACAAGTGCAACTAATTAATGACCTAGCTAGTATCATTACTATTAGGGTTTTTGGATAAATCATAACTATACTATTATTGCTGGGAATCATCTCATTATCTA